GTCTGCCTCCTGGCCGCCAGCCTTCAGTCCCTCTCTTTCCATGAATCTAGAGTCCTCAGCTGCTCCCTCTCTCCATGTCCTGAGATAGGAGTACTTTTGAAAGCTTAAGTCTTAGTAGCATTCTCTTTAACACCAAATTAAGAGTAGCTCTTGTTTGCTTGGAGATAAATTGCCATTTTCTTTGATTTGGGATTTTGTTCCCTTTTGTTGTTACAGTGGTAGACATAGATCACATAGCTCTTCTTATTTTTTAGTAATTTGCTACAGTAGTAATATGACGGGGGGGGCGGGGAGTTTTAGTTCAACCCTAATATAAAGATCACATACCGGTACCAATTTTAAATGATGAGTCACATATGGCAATATGGGTATTTAAATAACTCATAATTCAAAAGTTCACAAGTTCTCATGCTTGCTTATTTGGTATCTTCTCTTTTATTCTCCTAATTATTCCAAATTCATATGGAGTGAAATGAAAATGCAGTTATGCAAAGAGAGAATTCAGATCCAGAGGGATTTGCAGAGGTTTGAGGAGTTAAGAGGAATGGGGTGCCGAGATTGTGATTTACAGTGGGATGTTATATTTGCGTCACCAGGAATTTTATAAAAACAAAAATACCCGTGCTTCAGACCCCATCCTCTGGTGTACATCTGTGTGCCCTAACTCCTTGCAAAAATACCCACAGAACTTTTCATTTTAAAAATTCAGTTACATTCAAGACTTAACTAAATCTGAATTTCATACATTTATTATTTAAAACCTTAAGGAGCCTCTTATTCAGCTAAACTTACAGACCTTACACATAGGTTGTGTTTTAGTATTTTGATAAAGTTTTTTTTAAAAAAACAGTAGCATAATTATGAAAGTAATCAGAATATTATGGGGGAATATAATTTATAAATGTTTTAATCATATGAGTTAAGGAAAAACGTGGAATGTTAATTGCCGCTTACTGGAATAATATGAGGTACTGCATTATAAAGAAACAAATCTGAAGGCCCCCCCAAAAAAGTGCTCCTGAGTACTACTAGGTAAAGGTACTTTGAAATAACCTTGGGTAGAGGGTTGTCTGGTGTTTTATAGAAGTCTGATTCCCAAATCTGTAACTGATACAGACTTCTTTCTAGATAATTTAATCTGAACTGCCTTTTCCCTCTAGTAATCCTAACATATTGCCAGCTAGTCAGTTCCAACACATAGCATGACAACCTCATGTCATAGTAAAACTGAGCTCCATAATATTTTCAGTGGCTGATTTTTCAGAAGTAGGTTGCCAGGCCTTTCTTCTGAGGTACTTCTGGGTGGATGTAAGTCTCCAACCTTTGTGAAATTGAGTTTCTTAAATCCAGTAGAAGATGCAGTGTTACTATGGAATATTTGCTCTACAGAAAGTGAGCTTTTCATGTTTTTTGCAAAGAAATTTAGATATAAATTAAACACTAAATTTAATTTTATAGTTCTGTTGATCTTGAAATTGTCTCTATCTTTTCACTGTTTTTCTTATTTATTTCCTTTTCTACTAACAGTAGCTATAGTAGGACAGAACTTTGCTGGAACCTTCAGTAAGTCAGTCTTCCTTTTTTCAAAATTCCCATCTGTTAATCTTTGCATGTCGGTGGTGATGTCAAATCATACTTGCAAAAACCCCATGCCCTCAGTCCCCCTGGACAGCATTGACTTCACCTTGCATTGTTGGGTGGATTGTCGTTCCATTCCATGCTTATGTCATTTAATATGATGCATGCTCCCTCCAGCAACAACTGAAACAAAAACTCATGTTAGACCTTTGTTAGTGGTATACATCACTATAGCATGTAGATGCATAACTTAAATGTCAAAACTACTTTGCTTTGTGAGGCAGGATGTCAAGTAGAAATGATACATAGCTTATCAATTGTGGAATTGGTGCTTGACTATCACTAACATTTTCATTGATTGAGCATGTGCCATGGACGTGATACTTTTTCAGAAATTAAACATATTCAGTGTTTACCAAGATTGCCTACTATATCTGTGCAATAATTTGTTTTGTTTTTATGTCTTTTTTTAATATAATTTGTTCAGAAAGTCTCATTTTATGTTTACTATATGAGGTATTACAGATGTAAAATTGAGAAATATTTAGTTTGATCTTTAACCTTTTCATGACCCATGTTACATACAACACTCATGTCAATGTTCCAAACCTGTGGGATTTATTGGGCAACATCTTTCCCACTGACTTGCCTGTAGCCAGCACGAGGGGACCTGTGTAAACTGGTAAAAGGGAAGAAATGGGCTTGTGGTACAAATTACTGTTTTTACAGGGTACTTTGGAAGTGATGCATCATGGAGGTATTGCTTAACAAAACTTTTGTCTGGCTTTTTTACTGAGAGATAAGCTTTATAAGTACATTTCGATTCCTGCACATTATTTGCTTTTTTTTGCAGGGATTCCGTGTTCACGAGAATACCACATTTTCAGGTGCCTTAATTTTTATGCACCTGTGAGGGATCTCGACGGCAGTGTACTGTCCTGAGGGGCACGTGTGTTGCACTAATTCTAGCCCACTCAAGTCCAGAGGAATAGATGTGTCCCACATAATATGTGTCAAAATCTTTATTTCTTAACAAAATTTTTAAAAATACTACTTGATTCACCATGCCTTCCATTGTTGAAAACACGTGGTATCAACTGAAAATTCAAAGAATACTTGAGTCATGAAGGGGTTAATTGACATATTTAAAAACTCACTGTGTGGCACATAGTGACCTTAAAGGACTATGTCCTTCTAAAGATTAGAACTGCTCCCTAGGGTTTCTAAGGTAGAAAATCTTTACAGAAGTAAAGGTTCTCACCTTTCCCCTGCAGAGAGGCTGGCATTTTTCATCAGCAACCCAAAGCTTCACCCACTGGAACCACCAAAAGACACAAACCAAATCCACTGTCAAGTCTAGTGGATTCCAAGTGTACCACCAGGGCGCCTATTACCATGTAAGATACCCTGAGAGGCTGCCACAGCACCAAAATACTTTTGTATCTTTATTTATTTTTAAAAAACTGTTGTTTTCTTGTACACATAAAAAAAAGTGTAGATACTTGATGATCTTAGTACATTCTTGTTAAAATGTTAGTTTTAGTGCTACCTTATCCTGATAATATTAGTTAATTATGACTCAGGGATACACATACCAGCAGCTGATTTGCTTAGTTAAAATTTTATTCATAAATTTTAACTAGTTTAAAAAAATGTTTTAGCTATATTATTATGTGTTTGCATGGCATGTTTTGCATTTGTGGAAGAGACTTTTTTTTCTATAAGTGTAGTTTCTAAAACTTGGAATGATTATAATATTATTAAGAGGGTTCAAACAAAGCATGGGTAGTTATATTAGCTTTTTGATAAATACATTAACAGGTAAATCTCTTTGACCTTTAAAGTTTTTTCTTTATTACAGCTTTTTGGAAGTATTATATTAATTATATGTATATGTATTTTTAATAAAAAGTTTGCCATTTTAGCCATTTTAAGTATACAGTCTAGTGACACTGATTACATTCACCATGGTTTTGCTGACATTGCCACTAAAATTTCCAAAAAGTTTTATATTACCACCAGCAGAAACTTAGTACACATTAAGCAATAACTCCTATACCTCCTACCCCTTCCCTCCACCTGCATCTGTTTCCCGTTGCTATTGTCTATTGTAACGCGTAGCCACTAAGAAACATGTCCCTGTGCATTTGTTGATTTTAGTTATTTCATACAAGTTGGGTTGCACAATAGTTGCCGTTTTGTGTCTGACTTATTTTTCACTCAGCATGTTTTTAAGGTTCACTCATGCTAAAGCCTGTATCAGAACTTCCTTTCTCTTAATATTGTTGTTGTTGAGTGCCATAGAGTCGATTCCTACTCGTAGTGACCCTACCCTGTATGGGGTTTTTAAGAAGCAACCGATGGGTTTGAACCAATAATTGTGATTAGCAGTCCAGTGCTTGTCTTATAGCAATCACACCAGGGTTCCTTTCTCTTTATAGCTGAATAATATAACATTATATGGGGATGCCACGTCTTGTGTATCCATCCATCTGTGGATAGAAACTTGGCTTGGGTCCACATCTTGACTACTGCAAATAATGCTGCAGTAAACATTGGTTGTACAACTGTTTAAGTCCCTGCATTTGACTTTCTTGAGCTATACCTAGGAGTGGAATTGCTCAGTCATATTTTATGATTGAGTCCTGGTAGCACTGTAGGATAAGCATGGTTGGTGGTTCAAACCCACTAGCTGCTCTTTAAGGGGAAAAGATTAGGTTTTCTGTTCCTGTAAAGATTTACAGCCTCAGAAACCATATACACAGTCACTGTGAGTAGAAATTGACTCAGTGGCAGTGACTTAACTTTTTGAGAAACCATTAAACTGTTTTCTGTAGAAGCTGTATTATTTTAATTTTCACTAGCAGGTTCTGTATTTCAGTTTCTCCATATTTTCACAAGTGCTTACTAGTTTTTCTTTGCTCCTGAAAAGAGCCATCTCAGTGGCTATGAGGTAGTAATCTCACCGTGGTTTTGATTTATATTTGTAGCGTAGTGGTTACGAATTGGGCTGCGAACCTTAAGGTCAGCGGTTCGAAACTACCAGCTTCTCCGCGGGAGAAAGATGAGGCTTTCTACTCCCGTAAAGATTTACACCCTCGGAAACCCTGTACAGGGTCGCTATGGGTCGGAACCGACTCGACGGCACTTAACAACAACAGTGACTAGGGGCATTAATGATCTTTTCCTATGTTAATTTTTCATTTGAAGAAATGTATATTTAAGTCCTTTGACCATTTTTAAATTGAGTTGTTTGTCTTTTTGGTGTTGAGTTGTATATAGTTCTTCATACATTCTAGCTATTAGACCCTAAGTAATTTTTCTAGATAAATGTCTGAGTATCCATGCTGCTTTCTACTTGTTTCAAAATATTCAAGAGAATTTTTCTGCTATTAATTGGATTTTTTGTTCTTTAATACAATTAGTACTTTCATGTTTAAATCTGAAGATTTAATGATTTAAACATGTGTTTTAAACTTTATAGAAACACATATGAGGATGCTTCAAAAAACTCACAGCAAAAATGAATTAAAAAAAAATGGAATTTTCCATGAACTTTTCAAGCTTCCTGTGTTTGTATTTATGTGTAATCATTTAAAAATATTTCTGAACTTAGCACAAATTGATCATTTTCTTAGTTTTATAATCTTCTTTTCCCTTTTTTTAAAAACTAAATTTTTTCAGTCTTTTTAAATGGATGAAGTTGATTTGGGGAGAGAGATGGGGAGGAGGAATTCATTCTCATTTGTCCTGTAAAATAAAAATCAAACAAGTTAAATTACAAATTCAGAGGTTACAATATGCTACCAGAAAAACAGTGCGATAGGACCAATGCTCTCTCTCATGAAGACCTTGGTTTACAGTTACCATTTTGATGCCAGGTTAATAACTTGTCCTATTTGTAATTTATAGCTTACCAACCATGACACAGACTGGAGTCCCAACCACCCAGGAGAGGATGCAGTGGCATCTTTTGCTGATATTGGATGGGTAGCCAAAGAAGAAGGAGAGTGTTCAGCAAGGCTAAGGTTAGTTTGGAAGGCTGGCAAATCTAAAATGCAATCTTTTTATTTTAAAGGATGATACATTTGTAGTATTTCCTTTTTATTTATTTATTTATTTAAATTTAAGGTTTTTATTGTGGATTGAGTGAAACTTTACAGGGCGCATCATCAGTTTCACATTCAACAATTCATATAACTTGTTTCATTACATTGATTATGTTGTTGTTGTTGTTGTTAAGTGCCGTCGAGTCGGTTCCGACCCATAGCGACCCTGTACAGGGT